CATCTGGGTGAGTTTCATGCTAATTCTTTAAATAAGTATAAAACCATAGTTCATACCTCTTAAATAGTAATATAAAAAGTCACAGATTATTCATGGGAATAATAAGTCTTGGTTATCAAGGCCCTCCAGATGTCCAGACATGTCATGCAAAATGAAACCTGTCATTTAAAGTTCAAAAACTAAAGTCATTTTAGTAAAACATAGCTAAAATAAATCTGAATTATTTTAAACAATTTTTAAAGAAGTACCAAGAGTTTTTTCCCATTTTAATTCTAAGAGCTTAAATGAAACATTCATGCATTAAATTCAAAGTCTGTGTGTCAAATCATTTCACTTTAATAAAAATTTGAATTACTTGCCTTAGGGCATTATTAAATATCAAATAAAAAAGCACACATCCATAAGTCTTATTTCCTAATATAATTTTTATGTAGAACTATGGCTAGATTTGTATTACACATTTTAAGATGAAAGGATCAAAAAAATTTTCATAAAAGAATGAAATCAGAATGGGAGTCACCTTAGAAGAATTCTGGCACCTTTCTTAGGAATATAGGGGAAAATTACCCCCTTTAAGTAATCTCAGTGACCAAGGTAAGGACATGGATGCACCCTCCTTTTTTAAATACCTAAATTTTAATCAATTTAAAATCTCATAAAAAGTATACTTTATTCTATGATTACATAATGAATATAAAATATCTGAAATATAATATCATAAACATTTCATTGTGTGTGTGTGTGTGTGTGTGTGTGTGTGTGTAAAAGAGAGAAAAAATAGTAATGGTTATTTAAGTATTTAGAGAAAGGCACCTCTAGGAGCATATACGGATGACATTTAAAATAATAATCTTAGTTCATCGAAGGTGTCATTCCTATCTATTGGTATTCACGGAAATCCATAAACGTATGTCCACCAACCCTCATCACACTTCACACTGCCCCTTCTGGCAGCTTTCTCCTGGAAGCCCATCTTCCCCCTTCCTCAGTCCTACTCTGTCGTCCCTGCTGCTCTCACCCCTGCAAGCTATTGCCCCAACTCTTCCTTAAACTACGAAAGTGAGATACTACCTAACTGCAGTCATAATGGCGAAGATTTAAAAAAATAATAATGATAAGTGATGGACGGGATGTGGTGAAAGGGGAACACTTCTACATGGTTGGTGGGAATGTAAATTTGTGCAGCTGCTGTGGAGAACAATACGGAGGTTCCTCAAAGACCTTCAGATAGAACTATCATATGATCCAGCAATTCCACTCCTGGGTATCTACCCAACGAACAGGAGAATGTTCAGTCGGAAAAGCACTTGCACAACTATATTCATTGCAGCATTTTTCACAATTGCTAAGACATGGAACCAACTCAAATGTCCAAAAACAGATGAATGGACTGAAAAATTGTGGCACATATACTCCATGGAATACTATTCAGCCATAAAAAAACAAGACCCTGGAATTTGATAGAAAGTGGATAAATATGGAAGATCTGTTGCTGAGTGAAGCAAGTCAGGCTAGGAAAGAGAGACATTGAATGTCTCCACTTAACATATACTGACTGTCCACACTCTATGGTAGAGACTGAAAGACTGGAGAACATAAAAGAATTAAAAATTGTTATGGACACTAGAGACAAAGAGGAAAGAGAGTGTGTGAGGGGAAAAGCATAGGAAAGGAAATTTGGGAAAAAATAGAGAGGTAAGACACTTGCAGGACACAGATATGGTTTATTATCTGTGGATGAGGATGTGTATAGTACTCTCAACTGGGATGGACTGAGGTGTACATCATGCTTGGTAAAGTCCCTTTACAATCTAAATGATGTATAGCAACTGAATGTATGAATAATAATAATAAATTAAAATAAATAAATAAAACTATGAAAGCAAGTCACAGACACACAGCACCTACAAACCTCGACCTCCTCTTCCTTCCCATTAAAGCACAGGAAGTGTCAGTTCTCCTAACAAAAGTCAGTGTCTGTTTGTGCTCAACTTTCCAGAGACTTCGCTGCTAGGATTAGTCTTCCTAGAAACAGCATCTTCAGCTCCTCCCCATCTGCATGCTCTTTCCTCACATGATGCAGACAAGTGCTAGTATTTCTTTTGTTAAAAACTGAAAACACAGGAACAGAGTTCTGTGTATGTATTTTTCTCTTTTTCTATGAAAAATGCATCGTGGCTTTTCCTACAACCCAGTATAATCTCTGTGCCAAATACTTCCATATTTGAGTCCAGATCTCTTTTCCGATCTCTAATCTTGGAATTCCAGTGATCTTCCAGATGAGTCTACTACTATTGTGATTGATGAGCACATCTCCCAGTGCTTTATCCTTCCAACCCAAATGGGACTACCCTGAGTTTCCCACTGGCACTCAATGGTACAATGTCCAGTTTCTAAAGCCCCAAACTCTAGAACTTATCTTTAACATTTCCGCCTCCCACCACCTCACCCAATCCATCCCTAAGCGTCACCTGCGAATTCTAGTTCATCTGTTGATACATTAGCTTCTCTCCATCTCCCCTGTTCCTATCCTAGCATCTGAAACGCCGTGTCTATCACCTTGCCTACCCCATAGACTTTAAAATTCTGTTCTATCTTGCTTTGGCCCACTGATGTCAGATGTCTGATCTATTCATTCTCCAGCCAGGGGGAGCTGTGTAAAATAGATGTGAGATTAGCTCACTCCCCCCTGCATGAAAGTCTTTATAAATTTATGATGCATTGACAATGTAGCTGAAATGTAAGATCTGTGCCCTCTTCACCTTTCCCCTTCGATTTCTACAAGCCAGACTCGAGGGGCCTTCTTTCAGGGAACTCAGTGCATCAAATTTTTACCTTCCCCACTTTGAGTATCCTTCAGGGCCTTTGCAAAGGATAATCCCTCTACAGGAAATCTTGCACATATTCTTTTTCTCTTCTCATTCAAAAAATTTATTAGAATTTGTAGCCGTATACTTTGAGTACTTATTTTTTCCACTCTCAGCTCCCTCCTCAGAGCCTAAGCCAAGGAAAGCAGAGACTACATCTTTTCTTCTGATCTCTGAATACCCAGAACCAATCACATAGTAGATACTCAGTAACTATTTTATTGAATACATTTTCATTATTTAGCTCATCCAAAGGTTTATCTTTGACTTTTGCCCTTTTTGCCATGTATGAATTACTGAAAGTTTCTTCCCATTTCTACCAAAGGTGAATTTGTCTAATCCTCATCGTCTCCAAAACTGGAAGGAGGGATAAATCGAACTAGCTGACTTAAAACTGAGAATGAATGAATGACTGGGATGAGGTAGGCTGGCATGTGTCTATAGTCTAAAGAGCTCGTCTGCCTCCAGGTATTCAAGGCACGACATACTTGGTGTTGTGATAGATTCTGAGTGAAATAAGCATGTCTCAACCTTTAAGAAGCGCTAGTGAAAAATGAAGAAATACATCGATGCTAAATGGAAGAAAGAATGTGAAAGGGAGGTACAATTTAAGAAGCAGAGGACAAGAGTACTGAGCAAGCAAAGCACATTCACAGGACAAAATGACAGTGTGCCTCAGCCTGGTGGTACATGGGACTACAGTGCCGGAAACCATGCGGTCCCCACAGGTTTGAAGCTCTGGGTTGGTCTGAAAACACAACAGGTGCATGTGCAGTGGCCAAGATCCTGACAAGCTAGAGGGCTGGGAAAGGAGACTGCAGAATGCCAAGACCCACTCGAAGGTGTTTCTCTGTCTCTATTTCTCTTTCATGCACATGATATTGTTAAAAAGAAAGGAAAGAAGGAAGGAAAGAAGGAAGGAAGGAGGGAAGGAAGGATGGAAGTTGGGGAATTAGAGAGAGGAAGGAGAGAAAGAAAGGGAAGAAGAAGGAAAAAGGCATTTGTGCTGGAGTACTGGGTATATAAGGAGGAGGCTTCAAAAAGTTCATGGAAAATTCATATTATGAAAATACTATGCACGGATTTCAAAATTTTTACACCGAAATGAACTCATACTTCAATTCCACTTTCCACACCCTTTTTGAAATTTGGTTATACAGTATAATAATAATAAAGAGGAGAGGAAAATGGATTGGGAAATATGCGGGTGGAATGATTGCCTTTTAAAATGCCTATTACATCATCTGGGTCACGAGGCTGTGAGCTCCTGGAAGCCAAGGATTTCCGCTTATCCGCAAGTCCCCAGTCCACAGTGCCACGGAGGCCCATGGCATGGGCGAGTTTCCTCACAGCAGCCCACTCCGTGGAGAGCCGGAGCGCAAGGTCATGCTCAGAAACCGTCTGAACAGATGCTTTCCCCTCTGGGAAGCAGCGGTTCCCTGCCAGGTGCACTGGCCTGTGTGCTCTTAGGCAACTCCCCAGGCAAAGAGATAACCCCACATGTAGTCCTTCTTCTGCATTTTACCTTTCCCATGTCTGTCAGCTCCTCAAGAATAAGAAACACGTACACTGAATTCAATATATAAATAACGTAACGTACCATATTCAGATCATTAGTAAGTGCCTCTTAAATAAAAAGCACTTCCCTATGCCAACTATTACACTGCAGTTGGTACCAGATCTCTCCTCACCTACCAGAACAAGATGTTCCAACCTGTCGTAAGCAAGAGGATCGACACCGAGGCTCACAAACTCAAGCCCCCTCCTCTGTGCTGCTGGGAACTAATGACGGTGGCTTCAAGGTGGCAACACTGCAAATTGCCACAGAGGTCCTTGCCTAGCACCGTTTCTCTGCCCCAGGGAGCCAGTCCTCGTGGAAGCCAATGCTAAAGTAACACTTGGAATTAAAAGGTGCTCTGCTGGGAAAATAGTAGAACTGTACAATTTTTTCAACACTACATGAGATTAAAATAACCACATGACCTGTAATTAATGGGGCTTGACAATGTGTCATAAATTTTATCAAAACAAAGTGCACCTGTTTTACTGCTAAATTGTCAGTATCCCCATAGAGTAGCTTTGGTGTACTAAGAGTATGTAACTGGATACCTCATGTTCTTAATCTACACATACCCTGATGAAGATGGACTCATTCCTGCGATCTTTGGCTACTGAAATGCAGCTCTAATGACTCTGTCACTAAGTGGCTGAGTGGGTCGAAAGTTGTCTCCCAAGATCCCATCACAGCCTTCCACAAGTTCTGCCCCCTTAACATGTGTCCTCAGCCTCCGGAATTCTTCTATCTGAAAATAAAAGAGCAAAACAGATTAATCATTCACCAGACATTTACAAAATTGGAACTTCGTAAATGACTTAAAGTCTGCATTGATTACAATAATTAGAAAAGAAAATATGAATGGACAGGCCCCATAGCGCACTGGCTAAGCAAGCTGGATCCTGCGTGGCTGATTTCAGTTTGAATCTAGGGCCCAGCAGCTTGAAAAACACTGGCATGTGTGTGTGCATGGCCCAGATCCTAAGAGGATGGAGAAACGGAGAAGAAGGGAATGTGGCATGCCATGGCCCACTAGGCTGCTTTCTCTCTCTGTGTCTCTCTCTCTCTCTCTCATGAGTACACACACCTTCTGGCAATAATGCATATAATGCATATATAATATGTATTAATGTATATTACATATATATTAAATTAAACTTCAAAAAGAGAAAAGCAGATTTAATTATTCCATACTTAAGACATTAGATAAGAGAAGACGGCAGAAGTGGAAACACTAAGGTCTCCAGGTAACTCCAACATTCATAGGAGACCAAGGATCTGTTCATGTAAAAATGGTACACACCTCTCTCAATGAGTTTCAGTGTCTGTCTCTAACAAAATAAGAAAGTGTGAACCAACAAATAACTGTTCTTATGCATTTTTAACTAATGGAGTCTGATGTTACTGCATATTAAGACTGATTAGGTGTTAGATGTATTAGATGGATTTATTAGAGGATTCCTTCAAGATTTTCTCAGCTGTTTTAACTCTTTGGAGAATATAAGTCTAAAAATTCTCTTGTCTTCCAAAAGTTAAAGCCCAACTTTCTCTCTTAGCAACACCTACTTCCAAGTTCATCTAACTTTCTTGAGTGGCTGCTCCAGGTTCTGTGGCTTCTTCTTCTTTGTGAGGAGGTTCCAAATCCGAGGGGGCCTCTCCCATGAGCTGTCCTACAGTTTCTCTGACTTTCCAGGTCTGAGCCTCCAAGAACCCAGAGCCTGCCAGTTCTTACACTTGCAGACGTACATGAACCACAGAAAACATGTGATGAGCACTCTCCAGGCTCATTCCCATCTATGGGTGATTTACCTCCAGGGCTTCTGGTCCACTATTTCATTAAGTTTCCAGATACTCGACATGATACCAACCCTCTTCAGTCATACACAGCAGGGGAAACTGAGGCTAGGAGGCTACTGAGGTTTCCAAATTAGCTAATGGGAGAAGTCTGACAATTCCAAGCCCACCTGCTTCTTTCCCACCTCCACAACCACCTCTTTAAAAATTCTAGTCATGTCAGGACCAGCAGTTAGCATAATGGCTATGTCGCTGGACTCCCATGTAGTCGACCGCGGTTCGCGTCCTGGACCCAGTGGCTTAATACTCACGCTGGGCATGTGTGCGTGCATGCTCAAGACCCCAAAAGGAGAATGGAGAAGGGATTGCAGCATGGCCATCCCCCCTGAGGGGAGATTTCTCGCTTTCTGTCTCTCTGTCTCTCTCTGTCTGTCTGGCAAGCGCACACGCACTATAGCAAAAAAGAAAACCTCTCCA